TAAGCCAAGAGATGCAAAAATCCGAAACCAGAACTTCCTCTACAAGGTTAAAAATAATAATTAATAATAATACATTGATTTTTATATTAATTTTTAGAATTGCCTCCAGTTGAGCCACTCCCCCTTTGCTCCACCCACAGAGTCTCTATGATCACAGCTAGCAGTCCTCATGACTTTTACGTGCAGCTGGTAAGAAAAGAATCATTTATTATTATCATCCTCTCTCTCTCTCTCTCCCAGTCTACAGATTCTAATGATATGAGATTAGCTGATATTTCAGCAAAAATAAAAGAAATCATATCACTCCCCAGGGGGTCTTCAAATTTTCAAATTGGGTCACTTGTGATTGCTCCGTACGAAGACGAATATTTTAGAGCAAAAATTCTGAGTAAGAGAACAGGGTGGGGCTATGGGAGGGGCCAAAACACCCATTTTAATGACATGCATATTTGTCTTTTTCTCTTCATGTACATGTACACTCAGGTAGGGTCAAAGGAGGTTTCAGGGTTCTATTCCTTGATTACGGTAATGTTTGTGTGGTACCAAAGAAGTCCCTCTATCCTCTTGATGATGTGGCGTTGCTCAACGAACCACCAGCTGCTCTTCACTGCCGTCTTGTTGACGTCATATGGACCAACGGGTACCTCTCATGGCCTGAAGAGGTGAGACAGTACCAGTCACCTGGTAATATCGGAGGAGAAAGTTTTGGCAAAATTTGACATTTTGATAGCCATTTTGAACACAAATCTGCCATTTTATGACCTGCCAATCAACAAAAAATATAGCAATTCACCAAAAAATTAAACTCCTCCAAAATTACCCCATACATGTGTATGCATGCATATGTTTTATTTTCACTCCCTCCATTGTAAGGTGTCTGAGTTTTTCCATAAGATGACTACTGATATTGGCAAGGACCTACTCATGACGATAGTACCAGTGTCTACTCCAAATGAGGATAGTTCCATTATTTCTGTAGCACTGAGGGACAACAGTATGAGTCTGATAGGACCTGCA